ATACATTTTATTTTAGTAAAACTTGCATTCTTTAAAGTGCAATATATAGTTTATATAGTTATGTATAGTACATATATATATATATATATGTTTAATAAGTTAACTTATTTTTAATTTTTTAATATTTTATATAATTTAAATAATTTTTATTTCTAAAATATTAATATATATTTTATTTATTTTATACTGACATTAAAGTACCTATTATTTATAACATAATTTAGTAGGTTTTTAATTTGCAATAATAAATTCATAAACACATTACTGATAGAAAACGATGGCATACAGTAATTTGTTTGTAATTGTCAACCTTTATAACTGAAGCTTCCAAAACAAGATAACTTGGTTATAACTAGACTAGGAGACGACCAGACTAGATAATGTTTAAGTTTGCAAGCCATAAAAGCACATATCCGCATGCAAAGCTTAATGTTGAGCCCTGTAAACCGTTTTTGTTGTGTTTTTATATATATATATATATATATAATTCCACTAACATTTAGAAAGAATGTCTCTTCAAAAGCTACCTGTCAGTCTTGTGCGGTTGTTGAAACAAGATGTTGTCGAGTCATCCTGGTAAATGAATTCAGGTGCTCTCAACCTTGAAAAATGGACATATTCATTTGGGCTTTTTTGTGCTCTTGTGGTCGACACGTTCAATTAACTTGAATGCGGCCCAGCCTTGGGAGTCTATGAATGTGAACGCTAATGAATGGCTTGGATCTTTTCCTTTAGATTCCTGCCAATAAACATTCCATTAGCTTCATGTCCTTGAGACACGCATCGGGGAAAAACCCGGCATTGTTCCGTTCGCCATCTCAGTCATCTCTTCAATGAAAGAGAAAACGGAAAGAAAGCAAAAGCTGCTCTTAATTCAGACTGTAAAGGATGAGCCACGATTCATCAGGGTCAAGAGAGGAAACGGCTTTTGAAAACAAAATATGAATTCTGTGGCTGTGGATCGGGCTTATCTAATTTAGGAAAAGTATTCTCATACCAGCTTTAATAAAAGAGACTGATGTTTGGGATTCAACCTGAGATTACAAAGCCAAACATTAAACCAGCGAAAGAAAGAAAGAATAGTTGATAACGAAACGATTAAACATCTGCCTCTGACTAACACAAACTCAATATTAAAAGATCAGCTGGAATGTTTCTGTTTTAGATGAGACACAGGCCACGCCTCCTTAATGAAAGCTCAGGGATTCATAATGATTAGGTTGGAGTGACTAACCTCCTACTGATGTTATATTTTATGCGTTTTGAAATCGTTATATGCGAATACACTGTAAAATCAGTGGTGTAGCACCAGCGCTAAAGAGAAATGAAGTTCAAGCTGGCTGGGCTGACCTTTGCGGATGCCGGCGTAGCTGCTGCTGAGGCCGTTCCTCTTCTTACGGTGGCGGTACAGCCAGATGCTGAAGACCATGAGGATGATCCAGCAGGCCGCGCCGAGGCCCGCGATGAAGGCCGGCTGACGCACCACGTCTGAGATCTGCTGGGAAATCGTATTGTCATCGTCCAGCGGCGGCGGAAGAACACGGCCTGACGAGTCTGAGAGAAAGACCATGAGAAATGAGAAAAAATTATTTGATATAGACCATAACACTGATGCAATAATGAAAGAAATATTTCAGGTACAATAAACCTGCGGAATGCTGTCAGTTTCAGAAGAAACGATTTGCACATAATCCAATTGGGTTATGAAAAAAAAAAATGAATTGGCAGTTAAAAATCAATAACTATAATAGTAAAGCCAGTTAATATAACAGACAACTAAAAGATAATTGCAAAACAAAAATAATAAAATAACATTTTGCATGTCACAGAACTTGTTTAACACAATATTCCTTTAAATTTGTAAAACTTTTTTATATAATTGTATTTAATAAAATAAGATAATAACTAGATAAATAAATGTATAAATAAAAATAATATAGTATATCAATATTTTTTGCATGTCACAGAACTTGTTTAATGCAAAACATTCCTTTAAATTTGTAAAAGCTTATACAGAAAATATTTTTAGTTAATAATAATAGTAGTAGTAATAACAACAGCAATAATAATTATTTACACTACCGCTCAAACATTTGGGATCAGTAGGACTTTTAAAGAAGTCTCTTCTGCTCATCAAGGCTGCATTTATTTGATCAAAAATACAGAAAAAAATCTTGCAAAATGTTATTACAATATAAAATAATGGTTTCTATTTTAATATCCTTTAAAATATAATTTATTTCTGTGATCAAAGCTGAATTTCCATCAGCCATTACTCCAGTCTAAAGTGTCACATGATCCTTCAGAAATCATTCTAATATGTTGATTTATTGTTAGAATTATCAATGTTGGCAACAGTTTTGCTGCCAAATATTTTTTTGGGAAACTGATACTTTTTTCAGGATTCTTTGACAATTAGATTTTAATGTATATTAAAATAGAAAAACGTTATTTTACATCATAATAATATTTCACAATATTAACGTTTTTCCTGTATTTTTTATCAAATAAATGCAGCCCTGATGAGCATAAGAGACTCCTGTAAAAAACATTAAAAATGGTCCTGATCCCAAACTTTTGACCGGTAGTGTACGTGTCAAAAATAACACTTGATATTATAAAAAATAAACTATAATTGTACTTTATTTAATTATATTGATAAAATCACTATTCAGTTTTATTCAGAGCTGTTCATTTTTCTTTATGATTAATAATGTGAATTTTGCTACTGACTTTGAACTGGAATAAGAAGTTAGAATAGAAAGTAAAAAAAGAGTGTGTTCCATGCTTTTATATATTATGTAAAAGATGAATTATGAATGACAAGCTGCTGTCTGGAAGAACTGCAAGCACAAAGCAACTTCCCTTCTGTGCTGTCGCTCTCGGTTGTCCTCTCTTATTTCTACATTAAAGAGAAACTAGCGCTGTCGACCCAAAAGAAATCTCATTCCGTTGACTTCTTTCTTTTTTTCATCTTTTCCCCTTCCTCTCTGCGTTTCATGTGGGCGTCACTTTCATCTTTGTGACTATGTTCAGTTTTTGTCTAGCTGGGGGCAAACAGGTTCTCCCAAAACCTGAGCATCTCTCTCTCGCCGCGCTGCACTCCCTGCTCTGTCTTTGTGAGTCTGTCCTCTGTACTTCCTGTCTCAGAGGTTTTGTTTGTTGTTTGGTTGTGACTGAGACTCCGCTGAGAGGCCAGGCCAGGACAGGTGCGTAGGATGCAGAGATGCAAGAAAGCCCACGGTGTGACAAATGCTTTAGAGACCCGCGTCCTCTGCTTCCGGCGGCGGTGTAAGGCCACAGAAGCACACTCAGCAGGGGAATGGAAGCAGATCAGTCACTGGGATCAAGAGGAGTGGAGTGCATTCATCCCACACTGCACAAACCGACTGCTGTAATGTTACTCAAAATCTTGCAAACAGCGTAAAATAAAAATAAATAACTATATATACTACTGTTCAAAAGTTTGGGGTCGTTTTTAAACAAAGTCTCTTATTCTCACCAAACAAATTTGTGATCAAAAATACAGTAAAAACAGTTATATTGTGAATTATTATTACAATTTAGAATAACAGCTTTCTATTTGAATATATTTTAAAATTTAATATATTCCTGTGATGCAAAGCTGAATTTTCAGCATCATTACTGCAGTCTTCAGTGTCACACGATCCTTCAGAAATCATGCTAATATGCTCAATTGCTGCTTAAGATGTTTTTTTGTTTTTTTTGTGCTGTTAATATTTTTGTGGAAACTGCGATATATTTTTCAGAATACTTTGATGAATAAAAAGATCCAAAGAACAGCATTTATTTGAAATATAATCTTTAGTAAAAATGTAAGCATCTGTACTGTTACTTTTGATCAATTTGTGTCTTTGATGAAGTATTTATTTCTAAAAAATAAATAAATAAATAAAAATACCCCAAACGAGCAGCATTGTGGGAAATATTTTACAAATAATATGCAACAAAATTAGATTTTTGTACTGGAAGTAATTGCAAATTACTTCCTTTTTTGTAAGTTGCTTGGAAAAAGCGATACACGTGCTGTCAAACGTTTAATCGCGATTAATCGCATCCAAAATAAATGTTTTTGTTTACATAATATATGTGTGTGTACTGTGTATATTTATTATGTATATATATGTAAATACACACACATACAGTATATATTTTGAAAATATTTACATGTATATATTTATATTATTTATAAATATATTTAATATATAAACATATGTATCTTAAATATATACATGCATGTGTATGTATTTATATATACATAATAAATATACACAGTACACACACATATATTATGTAAACAAAAACGTTTATTTTGGATGCGATTAATCGCGATTAAACGTTTGACAGCACTACATGTAAATGTAAATTACCTCAATTCTGAATTTACCCTGTAATACCCAAGTTACTTTTTCAAATAGTGCACATTAGTTTTCTATTTACTTTTTAAGTAACAAATACAAAAACCTCTCCCTTCGTCACAACAGTCATGTAGACCAACATAGTGTGCGTTTACATACACAATATACTGCTTACTATTAAAAATCAGCACTAAAACAACAGTTGCTTTATATCAAGTCCAAAAGTTGATCATCTGTTTTTCTTCGTGTACTATACTGTATGAGTCTCTCTTTGTGCATCCAACAGGGTTTCAAAAGACCATTTAATCTCTTTCTGTCAAACGACTGACTATAAACTAGTTTCTGACAGCAGTGATTGGCATCTTATTCAAAACAGATTTGCATAACCGGATGGCCTATTATCCACCTGTGTCCATTGGCACAACACCAGGCTGCGTCACAATCACTTCCATTCAGTGCAGTTTAACCGCTGCCACCGATGTCTCGAGGCTGAACAAGTTAAAGCTGGTAAGTTAATGGAGAAATAAACTTAAAGCAATTAAAGGCTTTGCAGCACTAAAGTAAACTGCACTTTACTTGACGTCTCCTTTATTCTCGGATGAGAATGAGGACTCCGATAAGGCTGTTTTTGTAAATTACATACTTTTTGATGGCTAACCACAAGGCAAGTTACAACCGTGCCATTCACAAGCGTAGACGGTACGTTTTTTAAAGAGCAGGCCTTAAATAATGGCCATTCTCACAAACCTTTCCAGCCATAATAACACAGCCGGGTGTTAAAACGGGCCGGTAGCTGCTTACCAGAGTGTTTGTTGTGTTTCTGTAACCCGTTATCAGATGAATCAACCATTCATATTGTGCTCTTCTTTAGCTGCCAGTGTTGAATAACAGCGGTCCGGCAGAGTCGAGCGTCTCGGTTAACCAGAATAACATCCCGGTCTGACTCACCCAGCTGGAAGGACGTAGCCTCGCTCTTGACCCCGGGACCGGCCCCTGTGCTGGCTGCCACCTCCACCCTGTACGTGACCCCTGCGAGCAGGCCGGGAATCAGAACCGAGTGTGTGGATCCATCCACCGTGCGGTTAATGTGATATCGGCTTTCATTACCCAGACACCAGATCTGAGGGGGGAAAGTAAAGAAAACATGATAGGAGACAAGCGGTTAGCACTTAATAAAAATTATTTATGTTGAATAACAAGTATTTTCCAAAAGAGTGAACCTTTTTAAGGGATACAACTTACAAGCAATTTAACCAGTCAAATGTCTGGGCACACCTACTTTATGATTACTATTTTGGACATTTTAATAGTCTTCAAGTCTTTAAAACTCTTTAACTATGAAATAACACAAATCTAAGTATAGAAATGATGTAGTGTCCAATAAAAATAATTTTATTTCTCCAACCTCCCCCCGGTTCCTGATGAATGAGTTTATTGTTAATATTATTATTATTGCTACTATTACTAATTAATACTATTATTTTGCTATTTGTCATCTTCCACATCCTCCAACTTTCCCCTCATTTCTGATTAATTGAGTTCATTATTATTATTTAATTAATTTTTTTATTATTAATATTTTATTTTTTTTATTATTATTATTATTGCTATTACTATTATTACTTAGCACCTTCCTCATCCTCCATCCTCTGATTTTTGTTATTAATGCTATTATCATGCATGTATGTTTTGTTGACCTTGGTTATTTTGTATTTGATTTGTCACTGGTAAATTGTATATCTGTTTGCATAAAAAAAAAATTTAAAAAAAGGGAAAAAATCATTTTATTTTTTTTCATATTATTATTATTATTAGCATTAGCATTATTATTAAGATCATTTAAAGCATAAATAGTAATAATAATATTTTTACACACAGGTTTGGACACACTTGACTGAATGTATGCTTCACATGATCATAATAATAATAATAATAATAATAATAATAATATTTTGTAAAATAAAACATAATAATTTCAAGCACATAAATAAGTCTTTCAAAAATATTTTTAAGATCATGAGATCCATAAATTCAGTCAAGTTTATTCAAACCTGTGTGTAAAAAAAAATTATTATTACTATTTATTAATTTATGCATTTTTTTTTTTTAAGAATTAAAACAAGTCTTTAGAACAAAATCTTTTTAATATCATAAGAGGCATAGATTCAGTCAAGTGTTTCCAAACCTATGTATAATAATAATAATAATAACAATAATAATAATAATAATTATTGTTATTATTATACGTTTAAATGTAATATTGTGTTTAAATACATTTTTATCAAAATACTTTGATCATGAGAAGCATCAATTCAGTAAAGTGTGTCCAAACTTTTGTGTTTGTACAAATAGACAAATTGTTTCGCTAACTTTATCACTGTCACGTACAAATATTTCTCGTCTGAAAATAATGCACGACTGTCCTTAAAATAAAACTAGAGTTTCCTCAAAGCTAGTTAGTAAATCTATTTGGATGTTTCCATCAGCCCTCCTGCTTCAATTCAGACACTATCATGTAGCGCTAAAGTTGAAATGTGTCATGAAAACAAGATTCAGCACCTAGAATAAACACTCCCTATCTGTGGTACCCACATTCTGTCTTCATGTCAAAGGTCTGATTTTCCCTGACATGAAAATGCAGTTTTCTTTGTTTTCATTGCACGCACCGAACCCTGGTCTGTTTCCTCCTCTCGGGAAGCTCAGCCAGCCGTGGCGTCCAAATGAGTGTCAAAGTGTGTGTGTGACCAGAGCTTGGATCAGCCACCCTCACCCTAACACAATCACAGGCCCGGCAGGGGCCCATTCAGCGGGTGAAATGTGATATCGGCCCTCACTGGCCGTCTAACTTCGATTATAAGGTCAGCGCACTGATCTACGCTGAGCTCTACACAATGACGCATAGAAAAAAGGCTTTTTTACATGTTTTTCTATGCTGACGTCCCCTTTTTTGGAAATGCTAACCAGATTTAGACATCCCCGAAGGCTTCAGAGGAAAAAAAAAGTGGATTATGGGTCGAAAGAGAGAAAGTGAGGTAACGAGCGAGGACGTTCTGATAGTTCTGAAGTTCTCCTGAGGCACAATGGGGTAGAAAAAATAAGTGCATAAGAAAAGTGATTAGCGAAAAATCCTCCTCCGCCCAATTTAACAAGCATGAAATTACTGACTACCTTCCTTCAACTGCCCGAAAACATTTACCTGGAAAATTAACTGGGACTGAACGACTCGAACCGCACCTCTTCTCGTCAGCCGCGACCTACGAACTAAATACTGAAACACCGCAAAGCCATTAAAATTTAAGAGCCTGAGAGGAATATCGTATGAGATGGGCTCTGTTATCTTGTTTGGACATGAAAAGTTGCCGCAATTATATTTGCTAGTATGTATTGCATATTACTATATGCTAGTATGATTGCGTGTGACTACAAATACAAAGGGGACACAAAAAGACACGAAGCATCTACAAAACAATTCTTATTCATAATTCGCAAACGTAATTATCTTATGAAATATAATGCAGCATGTTTTGAAGTAACGTTTTGGCACACTATTAACCAGTCAAAAAGATATTTTGTCTGAAAGTAGCCCTAGTCAAAACAACGTCTGATACAACATTGTACTTTGGTCAAAAAAACAAAAAAACAAAACAAAAAACATGGCCTCTGTTATCTTGTTTGGATATGCAAAGCACATAAAGACACGCAAAACGAAAATAAAGAGAAAGAACGGAGGGAACGCAGGGTAGCTAGAAAATTGATGCCGCAATTATATATGTTAGCATGTACAATTGTGTATCAAATACAAAGCAGACACAAAAAGACAGAAAACTAGCTGATATATTTTTATTTTATTTTTTATATTATATTTAATTATATTTAGAAATAATTGTAAATTTTATATAGAACATAATATTTAGAACAATATTACAACATAATAAAATATTTATTTAAATACAATATTATAATTTATAATTTCAAATGCTTATAAAGGAATGTTTTGGCATAAATACAATAATGGGAAAAAAAATAAAACCTACAAAATAAGTCAAATCAAAAGAAACAAACATATCAAAACATTCCCTATGATCACATCTGTCTGGAAGGCCATTGTGGTAACACCCCACGTGAACCACTAGGTGGCAGCATTTCACAACATCTAAATTCCCCCCAATGAAAATCAACCCATTAACCACTACACTCTCAGCATTCATTCAGCTGCACATCATAAAATGAATGGAGTGTGAGCCAGTAAATATAATTTTCTCTTCCACTTCCTGTTTCCTTCCTCTACTACCATCCTTCATTCTGTTTTTGTTTTTTTTCATACTCTCTTTGTCTCTCTCTCTTTGTCTGTTTCCTGTGGTTCGTACCTTATATTCCTGCACCACGCCGTTCTGCTCCTCCTCCGGGGGTGGTTGCCAGGATACCAGAATAGCTGTGCCGTTGCCTCCGCTTCCCGTTACGGTGACCCCCCTGGGAGCAGCGCTGGGCGCTGCGATAAGATACACGAGCGGGACGTTACACACACACCTTACAATATACACGTGTTATGCATGTGCATATACACCTTCTTAACACCTTAAATTATGCAAATATGCAGATTTCACATGTGCATGTGTGCATATATAAACATTATGTAGACATATATAGGCGCTATGTGTCTGTGTGTGTGCTCTCTGAAACACATGTAAGCACTCATTTTAATAGTACACACTCAGCGGTATTAGTGCACTTAAATAATGAGCGGCGACTGCCAAGCAACATGATTGGACCGTCCCAGTGCCAGATGCCAGCAGAACGAATACTTGAGCTCAGGGTGAACAAAACGTTGTCACTGGACTTCATTTCACATAACTATTATCCACTTAATACATAAATGAATGTTAACACAAAGCCCTGGAGTGAAACATTTGCTTTGTGTTTGCTGTCTCTGATGTTTTGCATTTCAATTACATAAAAAGCAGGCGCGCACAAACACATACACACAAACACACACAGGCAAATTTGGAGCAGACCAAATGGCTGGCGTTCCCCAGAGCCACAGACGCCACACCCTCAGAACAATTAGCACAGCAGTTGTTTGAGCTTTCGGGTTTTGGCTTCTCTTTGGCTGCTTGGCTTTCGCGAAGCGTTTTAAACGGCCCGCTTTGCCCTCCCTCATGGGCCGCAGACCACACGTTAACATAAATGAGAACTACTGAATGTAGGCGAGCGTCTTTCTTACTCTAGAGGACTGCACAGGTATGCAGAAAACCTGAATGTAGCCTGTGAATGTGATCGAGCCAAACCCAAAAATAAACTCAGCGTCTTTCTATTTCCTGTCCGAGCGGGTACACCCAGGCGCAAATGCAAAACACTGTTTGATTTTGCCCAGGAATGTGAGTGCAAAAATATTTATAATAATTTATATTCAATTTATGTGATATATGATAATTTTGTAGTATTTTATTATTATTTTAATAAAATAAAAAAGTATTATAATTTGTTTCACAAAACTAAACCATATGTGAGCATAAAATTAAAAATTACGCGTGAAAAAAAAAAAAAAAAACCCTGACTAAAACCTGGTCCGAAACAAACCCAAAAATTTTAATTATCCCAGGAACATGAGTAAAAAAAACTACTATTTAATTTTATTATTTTTAACCATATGTGAACCTAAAATTAAAAAAATTAAGCAACAGACTGAAACCTTGTCCGAAACCTAATCCAGATATTCGAATTATCCCAGGGCTGTAAGTTTAAAATGTTCTATAATAATTAATGTTTTTAATTTATGAAACATTACTTATTTATATAACACACACACACACACACATATATATACATACATATACAGAGCTGGGTAGATAACTTAAAAATTGTAATCCATTACTGATTATAAAAATTGTACTTAGTAACGTAATCCATAACATTACACAGTTTAGGTAATATAATCAGACTACTTTTTGATTACTTTTTACCTAACTTATCATATTGATTTAAATAGGATAATCTTGTACCATATTGATATAACAATGCAAAGAGAAAGAAAATATATTACATTTGTTGTTATTAACATAATGAAGTGCATTAAACTTTACATTACGTAAAGATTTCCTAAACTGTGGTTCATAAAGGAACTGCAGGGGGTTCATAATTTTAATGAAAAGCTAATTATGTAATCCTCCGGATTACATGCAATCAGTTACTACCCAGCTCTGTATATATATATATATATATATATATATATATGCACATCGCATTGTATTGTGACTACTGTGAAGTGAATGAGAAATAAATTGTGAGACATTACGCTTTAAAGAGCACACAGTCAGACAGCTGGAAGCTCTCCTCACCTTCCTCCAGGGTCCTGGCCACTTTAATGTCGCTGTCTGTGCCTTGGAACTCGTTGAAGAAAGGTCGGACTTTGAACTCATAGGTCACGCCCTTCTTGAGCTGGGTGACGATTGCGCTGTTCTCCCCCAGGGTTCGAACCTCAAACATGGCCCATTCCACCCACTGCTGAGCGCCCTCTGGGGATGGCCGGTACATCACCTTATAGCCCTGAATGTACTGAGACTGCTGCTCGACCTACAGGCAAGAACAGGGCAAAACTGAAGGACAAAATCACTTAGATGCTGTAAACGCCTGCTAATGATTACCGTTGGCATTGTCCAGGACTAGGAATTTTTATGACATTTGTTGCTAGTTAGCTACACCATGGTTTATCAGACATACCAACATAGTTAAATATTATAATGTGCTGTAACTTTTACAATAACTAACAACATTATAACAAAACTTATAACTATAATCCCAGATATTAATTTTGTTCCCTGAATATTTTCATTTTTTATTGCATTATTTCTATCATTTTGGACGAAAGTCTTTTTTTTGTGGCTTTGTGGGTGTACGTTGAAATACTTATCCTAGGTTTAATATGCAAAAATCAACATTGAAGATTAGATTTGAGCTTCTGATGACTTCTAATGTGCAATGATTTTCATATAGGAGGTGTTCAGGACTGCGATCAGTCCATATGGCCGTGGAGGGAGGAGAACTGTACATGCTTGTAAAGATTTTAATCAATTCTTGATCCGCCCCAATAAAAGCAGATGTCGTTTCAGCTGTTTCTGATTAAATACGTATAAAGTGCAAACGACCCAAAATGTTAAAAAGTAACATGCTGGGAATACTTCTGTTCTTGTGTGCATGCGTTTGTGGAGTGAAAATCTGTACAGAATTAACCTTGACTTCAGATGTTTAGAACATACTGTTTAATTAAAACTAAATTAATTTGTTCAATATCACATAAAACTTAAAATTAGTTAAACCTGTGCTTAAACTGAGATAAAAAGCAAGTTGCCAGTGAGTTAAGATAAACTTAATTGACAAAATATTCTCTTTAAATAAGTCTTATTATTGTTTTAAAATTTTCTAATTGTACACAATTTTGATTCTCAATTATGTATATCTAATGTTTAGGATGTTTAGTATTTCTCTGGAAAACAAGATAAAACACTGATTAAAAGAGGTCATTTGAATTCCACATGCCAAGTTATGACTAAACTTATGTCTTTAGTTCCAAACCTGTAAGACCTTTGTTTACATTCGGATCACAAATTAAGATATTTTGATGAAATCAGAAATCAGAAGAATTGTTGAATACTTTTGTTTTCTTTGCGCACAAAAAGTATTCTTGTAGCTTCATAAAATTAAGGTTAAGGAACCACTGATGTCACATGGACTATTTTAAAGATGTCCTTACTACGTTTATGGGCCTTGAACGTGTCAGTTGCATTGCTGTCTATGCAGGCTCAGAAAGCTCTCAGATTTAATAAAAAATATCTTCATTTGTGTTCCGAAGAGTAACGAAGGGCTTGCGTGTTTGGAACGACATGAGAGTGAGTAATTAATGACAGACTTTTCATTTTTGGTTGAACTATCCCTTTAACAGAATTTGTATTTTTGAGTGAACTGTCCCTTTAAAAAAAATGTGGCGGCACTCACAGTCCACTGGATTCTGACAGAAGATGATGAGAGAATTGTGGGATTGTGGAGGTGAATGACAACATCTCCCAGCTCCCTCTGGATCTGCCCATGGTCCACTCCTTGACTGGTTGGTGGGACGTCTACTCACATAAACAAACCACATAGAAAATATGAAGTACAAGCATATATGAACATCAAATACCCCAGAATAATACACAAAACAGTGATACATTTCATAACTCTCACGAGTGCAATATTTAAAACACGTGAAAGGACGCTTGTCTGGGAGGTCAAAGGTGAACTGACCTTGTGTTTTGACAGCGTCGCTGATGGGGCTCGGATCGCTCAGGCCGTACGCATTAGCCGCTCTCACCAGGAACAGGTAGACGCCGCTGGGCTTCAGACCCTTCAGAACGAAGCTCTCTGTCTTCACGTGATCCGCGAGCGTCTGCCAGCTGCTGCCCGCCGCATGGCTGCCGTCCACACCACACAAATCAAACATCAGTTTACCCAAACTTTGTAGCGAAATATCGCAACTACAAACATTATTCCAAACAATGAGGTTACTGCAAAACTCAGGAAAGCACAGACGTGGGTATGTTTATTTATGACAAATGGACTGGGTATTTACAGAACCACCATTTGCTTATAAGGATATTCACAAATGTTTATAAAGCACACGCTCGTACAACCAAACCGACCAATGATAGATAAGTATAGTCAGAACTGATGATGTCACCTGAAGGCCTCTATGACGTAAGAGGTGGGCGTGGCTCCAGCATTCAGATTGGGCTTCCAGGACAGAGACACAGAGGTGCGGCTGACGTCCGTGACTTCTGGTTTGAAGGGGGCGCTGGGGATGAGGTTGGGATCTGTGGGTCGGCCCGGCTGAACCGGAGCGCCAAACTCTGAAACCATAAACACACATGAGCATATCATCCTGTGCAATGATTACAACCAAAAACTGGTTTAAAAAAAAAGCATTTTTGTCTTGCTTTCCGGTCTAAATTTTAAATAAAAAAATATCTAAAGATTCTTAAAACAAGGTCAATTTACATGGGAAGCAAAAGACTATATGCAGTATCAGACATTATATGAAATATTAAATAGATATCAAGTCTTGCTTTTTAGAGAAATCAAACAAAATTTTGTGGAAAAAAAAGGAAGAAAAAAAATTTGCCACTAGGGTAAATAGACTTGTTTTCCCTTTTGAACTGTGTTTATTTTTCTCACCCCACTAGCATGTAAATCTGGCTTTAAGGACGTTCAGTTATTTATGTTGGAAAATAAGAGAAAAATATTGAGAAACAAAATGTTTTTTTGTTTTTTTTTCCAGTGCAGCGGCTCAAATCTGTATCAAGAAACAATGAAAACCAATTACAGGCATAGGGTTGGGTACCCCGAATCAGAACGCAGATTTCGGTGCCACTTAAATGCTTGAGCGATATTTGTTGTCTGGTTCTCCAAAACGGACGTAAGGATCACCGTCACCGCACGTGAAACATAATTTCCCAACTGAGAAAATTCACGAACGCAAGTCGGAAAGCTCTAATAATACAAATCCAACACATCTTTGTAGTGTCATGTTGTTTTCACATTCCGACTTAAAAGCACAACTCGGGAAATGAG